CAGTGACGTAAAGGATCAAACCACTGAAATTTAAAATCTTATGAATTTTTTTCCTCTTATCAGCTGAGCGTGAGATCGTGCGTGACATCAAGGAGAAGCTGTGCTACGTCGCTCTGGACTTTGAGAACGAGATGGCCACCGCTGCCTCCTCCTCCTCCCTGGAGAAGAGCTACGAGCTTCCCGATGGCCAGGTCATCACCATCGGCAACGAGCGTTTCCGCTGCCCAGAGACCCTCTTCCAGCCTTCCTTCATCGGTATGTATGAAAACAAACGCGTGGAGCAACTTTTATTTAACAGTTTAACAATTAAGCCACCCAAAGGGTCACATTAAGGCAATGATATACAATTCGGTCCCTCGGTGACCCCCATATAGTTTGACTATCCCAGCTCCCAACACACAGAGTCAGTCAGGAACTGAATGCTAGATACCCCTGTCAAGGGAGCTTTGTACATTTCAAATGGTTCCAAGGGGTCATATGAGCTGGACATTAGATTTAATGGGTGATGATCCAAGCTGGTCCAACTGAATTAATCTGAAAACAGCAGAAAGCATTCACACTTACATTTGTGGCATTTGGTGAAAGATCTAAAGCAATCCAAACCTTGCTCCTGGTGAACACCCTGCCCTGTACATTTTAGTGTTTGCCCTGCTCCCATCACACCTGATCCAATTAATCTGCTGACGAACAAGCCCTTTGTGTGTGGGTGTATTTTGGCAAGAAAACCAAAAAATGCCCACGGCAGGAGGACCTAAAGGACCAGGGTTGGAAACGACTGATCTAAAGATACTACCAAGCTAAGGCACTGCAGGGAACTGCGCTGAAACCAACAAAGCTGTTATGTTTGGAGAGTAATGAGGCTGGATGAAAGAGTGAGCAAATTTTAATAAATAAAAAAAACTAGTAGAAACACTGAGTACAACACCAAATCACAAACTACAAGGCTTTAAACCAAGATACACGTTGAGCAAACCAAATGTAGGGCAGGCGCATAACCAGTAATGGAAAGTAGACTAGATAACCAAGGACTGAAACAGAGGGTTTGATATAGATACAAACAATAGGGAACACCTGGGAGAGGGAGGAGACAGGGACTACAAACAGGTGAGAATCCTAATAGGGAAGGTGGGAAAAGGGGCAGGGCAAGGAACCAAAACCAAACACAAGCACATGGCTAAAAGACATATAGTCACAGGGGAAGAAACAGGCACACTCAGAGGGACAATGGGGAAACTGTGACAAAAGCCCTGCAAGCAGTACGTCAAACCCAGAAGCCCACATTTCCAAGCAGAGAGCACAAGCACACCAAGCTAAATCATTAGCGACCACATCATCACAGGTCTTCAAATCCAGACCCTGAATCCAGTTAGGGTGCTGGATTTTGTAATCATTAACTGAGCCATTGCTATAACTGATAGACTACAAAATCCTGGATTCTTCGTTTTGAAGACATCTAGATCCCAGCTGATTTTTTTTCTACTGGAGCCAACTGCAATTTCCTTTAAGGGAGGTGTCTCTAAATTGTGCCCTCTTTTTAATCTCAGGCATGGAGTCTGCTGGCATCCATGAGACTGCTTACAACAGCATCATGAAGTGTGACATTGACATCAGAAAGGACCTGTATGCCAACAACGTCCTGTCCGGTGGCACCACCATGTACCCTGGTATCGCTGACCGCATGCAGAAGGAGATCACCGCTCTGGCCCCCAGCACCATGAAGATCAAGGTATGTATGAGCAAGAGCAGAGCTTCAAACTCAGGCCCTGGAGGACCAGCAATATGGCTTTATACATTTTAGATTAGACACAGGAGCAATGCACATTAATACACACCTGTAAATGTACCAGCTGAGATCATTTTCAGCTGTGATTTCAAGCAGCCTATTTTTTCCTTTCAAAGCTCTTAAACTTTAGGCTTATTATTCAATTATTAAACTTAAGACTTACTATTTCATGACCACTCTAACTACCATGAAGCAGGCCTGCATATCAGTCCTAGTTTAAAAGGTACTTTATTGAAAAAAAAGTTCAATACATCAAAATTGCATCAATAATTCCCCCTTTTCCCCCTCCAGATCATTGCTCCCCCCGAGCGTAAGTACTCCGTCTGGATCGGTGGCTCCATCCTGGCCTCCCTGTCCACCTTCCAGCAGATGTGGATCAGCAAGCAGGAGTACGATGAGGCCGGCCCCAGCATCGTCCACCGCAAGTGCTTCTAAGCTGCCTCTTTCCACCTCCGTCTCCATCACGCTCAGAAATTCAGCCACAGCCTGCTGCTGTTGTGTCCTCTTGGGGCAACCACATTCTCAAAACATGTCTTTGTCGTAACGATGCTTCTCAGACGCCACCGCGAGGGTGGGGAACAACAAGACGCCATCACATCCACTCTTGTAACTGTAACTTAACATTCTTAGCCTATGAAGAACCGTACTAGGTGCTCCTTGTACCAAATGTTACCAAAAATATGGACTCTGGAACCAAAGATTGCACAGGAACAATATCAGGCAAGTCTGCTATGATTTACCAGAAGCTTGAACATCAGAGAAATGTCACCAAAGACAAATGTTCTCTAGCTACTTTGATGGGCCTTGAAAGAAGTTTTGGACCTACTCTGTCCTTCCACAGTACAACGCTTCGGCTCTTGTTGTTGAACAGAGAAATGGACATACATCCACAGTCCTTTCCTACCTCTGTCTGTCCATGCTTTTTTCAGCCCATTGATAAACCAAAATAAAATAAAAATCGAAAATACCTTTTTAAACATGGTTGTCCTTGTGATGTCATTTGCTTGTATGTATAAAACTCTGATAGAAACAACAGCGTAGACCAGCATAGCTGGTCACCAGCAAAACCACCAGCTAAACCAGCACCAGGCCAGCATAAACCAGCATAAAATCAGCTTAGACCAGCATAAATCCTGTCCTGATCCTTTTTTTTCAGCAGGGAAGAAAGTCAAAGTTCTATGATTCTATGCCAAGGTGTGGAAAATGGTCTTATGATATGCAGTAACAAGCCATGAGTATTAGAGTTAGGCATTCATTTTGGGCCATCAGTGTCAAAACTCTGTCAAAAACAAGAAAGAAACTCATCTCTACAATAATGCTAATTTCTGATAATGCCTCCATTAGATTTCAACTAGTACTGTAGCACTAAGCTAACAGAGGTGCACATGATTTTTTTTTTGACTGTAAATTAAATATATCTGAATATTTGAAGCTTATAAAAGACACTACATATTTATTTTATGACATATTAGCAGATATTTTACCTTGTAGCAGTTGTACAGTGACTCCTCCAGGTTTAGATACTCAGACTGTGATTAATCCAGGTTTAGATACTCAGACTGTGATTAATCCAGGTTTAGATACTCAGACTGTGATAAATCCAGGTGTAGATACTCAGACTGTGATTAATCCAGGTTTAGATACTCAGGCTGTGATTAATCCAGGTTTAAATACTCAGACTGTGATTAATCCAGGTTTAGATACTCAGACTGTGATTAATCCAGGTTTAATAACATTTTGAACATGCTAAAATATCATCACAAAAAGGTTTTCCGAGCACACTGTGGATAATGCCTTTACTTAAAGAACGCTAAAATATTAAAATGAAGAATAACAGGGCCTCGAAAGTGGTGAAGCCATCTATGTCACCATTCTTAATTGGATCTAGTGACGTGTATTAAAACACTAAAAAAAAATTTTAATAGCACTTTAATAGCACAGTTGCACTTTGATGTGTCTGTCTGTTCCAACATCAAATCCCAGAAAAAATAAATACTGCAATACATATCATAAAAATGTCTTCATTCATCATGATGTTATATTCTTGTCATATTGCCCACCCCTAGCTAAGCCCCAGCCAAAGACGCTTAATGTCATTTAGACTGTCTCTCAGTTCGTTTATTCTTCAGCAAAGCTGTAAGAAGGACTGTTATGTCTGAGAATGAACACTCTAAACAAACCGACACAGATAAGTGCTGTCTGCAGTCTGTTTGTTGACTCTGTATGGCTCTCATCTTAAGGTCTGAGTAAAAACTGAGTTTTAGTTTGCATGATGTTAGTGCAACAGGAATGCAAACAAGTGGCCGGTGAGTGGAAGTACAAGGTGGATGTTTCTAATAAAGTGGTCAGCGAAGGGAAGCACAAGGTAGGTGTTTCTAATAAAGTGGCCAGTGAGTGGAAGTACAAAGCACATGTTTCTAATAAAGTGGCCAGTGAGTTGAGTACAAGGTAGGTGTTTCTAATAAAGTGGCCAGTGAGTGGAAGTACAAAGCATGTGTTTCTAATAAAGTGGCCAGTGAGTGGAAGTACAAGGTAGGTGTTTCTAATAAAGTGGCCAGTTAGTGGAAGTACAAGGTAGGTGTTTCTAATAAAATGGCCAGTGAGTGGAGTACAAGGTAGGTGTTTCTAATAAAGTGGCCTGTGAGTTGAGTACAAGCTAGGTGTTTCTAATAAAGTGGCCAGTGAGTGGAAGTACAAAGCAGGTGTTTCTAATAAAGTGGCCAGTGAGTGGAAGTACAAGGTAGGTGTTTCTAATAAAGTGGCCAGTGATTGGAAGTACAAAGCAGGTGTTTCTAATAAAGTGGCCAGTGAGCGGAGTACAAGGCAGGTGTTTCTAATAAAGTGGCCAGTGAGTGGAGTACAAGGTAGGTGTTTCTAATAAAGTGGCCCAGTGAATGGAAGTACAAAGCAGGTGTTTCTAATAAAGTGGCCAGTTAGTGGAGTACAACGTAGGTGTTTCTAAGGAAGTGACCAGTGAGTGGAAGCACAAGGTTGATGTTTCTAATAAAGTGGCCAGTGAGTGGAAGCACAGGTTAGGTGTTTCTAATATAGTGGCCAGTGAGTGAAAGCACGTCAATCTGATTGGTTTCGCCGTTCACGGATCATTTTAAACCAATCAGGCGTTACAGTGCACGGCGCTCGCGCATGCGCACCCGGAGGCTCCGAGGGCGCGCCGTCCAGCAGACTTGTTTTCCTTCCAAATCCTGCAGCACAGAATAAACAGCTCGCGGAGAAAATGCTCGTCTGCTTTTCTGTGGGACTGGCTGGAGCGTGAGGAGGAGAGATGCGTCCGTTTAGCTCTGATCTGGAGGTTTAAGGACGCCGGAGCGGTAAGATTTACGCTCTAATAATACTCTAATAATACCAAAGCCTGTAAGCGAGATGATGCTGTTTACCTGCTCGGCGCAGGTAGAGCGCCGTAAACACCGTAAAGGCGCTGGGCTGAGGATGCACTGCAAGGCTAAATGATATTATAGCACCAGCGACAAAAGCATCGCTCCCTCATTGTTGTAGCCAGTGCGTGTGAAAATATCACTACGCATGACTTATTATAGCATATAAACACGTCAATCAACAGGACTGAGTATGTAGATCTATATGAAAACGGCTGTAATAGAAAGCCTATGAATGGTCACTGTGGAAACATGAGTTTATGCATTATGTAAGGCATATAAATAAATAATGTAGGTCGTGCAGAGTGACTAGGATAAGAAGATAACGTTCCTCAGCTCATGTCAAGGCAGCCTGGATCATCCCATAGTAGTGAAATGGCTGTACTGAGTCTGCCTGGCAGAGGCCTTTTGGATTAATACAGGGCTGATTAGGGCCCAGTAGCTCGGCTGAGATAAGACCGATGTCTGTCAGTATTAGATGTCACTCTAAATGCTAAAAGCTGGGGAAATTAGACCACCTTTAAAGGGGAATTCCACCAAATTTTCAAAATCCCTGCATAATTCAGTCAGTGTGATGCAAACCAAGCCATTCAGAGTGGTTGGATGTGAAATGCTTCATTGTGGAGAAGCTTGCAGACGAGGATTTCCTTACAGTGGTGGTGATAGGAACCAGGGGTCGCAATGTCTATGGTGCAGCACAAATGCATTAAAAATACGCTAAAGGCCAAAACCTCATGCCAAACTTATTGTAAAACAATGTGTCAGGCATCTGGCAGTGCGTTCGTAACCATTCTGTACAATACCACTCTGTGATTTGGCTTTGGACGTCTGGTTCCTATCACCACGACTGTAATCAATTCTGACTCATCAAGTTTCTCTAGAAAGGAGCATTTCACACCAAACCACTCTGAATGACTTTATTTACATCTCAACCGTTTAGTTAAATAGAATTTTCAAACATTGGTGGAGTTCCCCTTTATCTCCCCATAGAAACCCATTATAATGAAAAAGCTTAGCGTGGCTTAATGTGATTAAACAACGACCCAGGAACACCGACTTTCACTCATACCTTTTTTTCAAATTCTAGTACACTAAGCAACGTTAAGCTTGTTCCTTATAATGGGTTTCAATAGAGAATAACAAATTAATGTGAAAATTAATGCTTTGTTTTTGGATTACAGGTTTGTTCTTTTGGCATGAGACAGTATTTATTATCAATACGATAATCAGCAAAGTATCATCGTTTTAGTACATAAAGCCATGAGAAGCTTTTTCTTTTAAAAGGGGAATTACACTACATTTTCACATTTTTAACAAAATTAAAGGGCCCATATCACAGTAAATATTATTTTCCTCACACTAAAAGTATTTGATGTGGTATGCAAATGGTGTTAAAGTTTCCAACATGCATTCACTGACCCGTCCATAAAGTATATATATATATCGCTGCTGTTGGAAGAAAACCTCGCAAAGGAAAAATATGGTTCCTTTGACTTCAATTCACAGTTAAGAAAGTTTTTCCTTCTCCTATACAGTTACATTTTCTGAGATATAAAGTACAAAGTTTGTCCTAACAGTGGCTTTAACATGAACATATCGCTGCTGTTGAAAACCCTGTATCTCCATTTTTGTTGTTTTTCAGTTTTTGACATAATTTGAAAATGCCTGTTGCTCTTTACATTGTGTGTAAATTTCATGATGAACGGACCAAAAGAAAACGGCCCAAAATGACTTGGGGGGAAAAAAATTCTGGTTCCACTGACTTACATTGGAAGTAAAGTAGGTTTTTTTCATTTTTTCATCAAGTTTTCATTTTGGAGATACAAGGTATATATATATATATATATATATATATATATATATATATATATATACATATTCAGTAACAAAAACAGCCTGTTAAGTTCTAAAAGATAAAGAGAGATTAGAAAATTGTCATGTAACAGTTAACGATGGCTGTTTTTGTACACAAAAGTATACAAACCTCATAAGTGGACCTTTAAGACATAGACAAAGTTATTCAAAGTGGTTTGATATGAAATGCTCTGTTCAAGGGACAGGGTCAGAACTGTTCACAGTGGTGGTGATAGGAACCAGACATCTGCAGAGTTTAATGCCTCTAAAAGCCCCATCACAGAATACTAGATAACTAGATAAAATGGCAGTAAATATGCTGTCTGATATGGGACATTGTTTTAATGTATATAATGGCTATATGTGTGTTGTAGACATTGTGACCCCTGGTTCCCATCACCAGCACTGTAAAGAAATCTGACTCAGTAAGTTTCTCTACAGTGAATCATTTCACACCAAATCACTCTGAATGACTCTGTTTACATATCAACCACTGAACTATGCAGAAATTTTGAAAAATCAGTGAAATTCCCCTTTAAGTGTTTTAGAGTGTCCTGAAAGCTGGCTCCTCCATGCTGTTTATGTACTAATCTACTGTATTGACCTTTTGACCCAGGTTGCCATCAAAAACCAGGCCAAATGACGAGCAATAACAACGCGGTGACGAAGAGGATCCGGACGGAGTACATGAAGAAGTTCCGCGATCCGAAGTGGGAAACCTTTTCAAAATGCTACGAGGACTCGGTGAAGTACAGACTGACCCGCAGGCTGCTGGAACAGACGCACAGGCCCCTGTTTGGCGATGGCTGGGACAGCGGCTCCGACTCCAGTGGCCGGTCCAGCCCCAGGCTGCGAGGAGCTGCAGAAACCTCCAACTCAAAACCTCACACGTCCTCCTCTGACTCCAAGTACGAGAACGCTACACTGCAGGAACCTCTGGAGACGCAGGTGAATGGAGAAGTGCTTACAGACGCAGCCACTTCCTCAGCACTGGAGAATTCACGGCCTGTAGGTAGGGCACTGCTACCAGCTCACCTGGACACTTTACAATGATCACTCAGAGTATGTGGGCTGTGCAAAGGGACTTACTGTTTTCTAGAGAGAAAAAAATGAGTGAATCTGACCTCCATCATAAACAAACATGGTCAATTTTTTTAATTATTAACTACACTACCATTAAGAAGTTTGGAATAATTTGTCATATTATTAATTGTTGTTTTTTTATGCAGAAATAACCCAAACCGTGTAGATGTGGAATAATTAAAGGTTAATTAATATACTGTAATTATCTATTTATAGTAATTTCTTTTCAAATTGTCTGCCCTAAGAATTGCCACTTTTCAAATATAAGGCATTCTGAATATTAATTGTTTAGAGCTTTATTCTGAAATTTTTTTTTTTTGGATATTAATTTTATTAGAACTTTATTCTGGATATTAATTTGACTAGAACTACATTCTGGATAGTAATTTTATTAGAATTTAATTTTAAATATTAGAAATTCATTCTGGATATTGTTTTATAAGAACTTCATTCTGGATATTAAATTTAGTAGAACTTCATTCTGGATATTTATTTTATTGAAACTTCATTTTGAATTTTATTAGAACATCATTCTGGATGTTAATTTTATTAGGACTTTCTAGATGTTAATGTTACTACAACAAATGATTTGAAATCTGTGAAACAGAGTACCAGCATCATATTAGAATTATTTTATGTGAGTATCTGCAGCAGACTTGATGTTATAAGATTAAAAATGATTTTAAAAAGAAAATCCTTTTCACCATTTTCTTTTAAATCACAGAGAACGGTTACCAGCACTTAACAGATAACGGGCCGTCAGAGGTTGTGGCGAGGCGGAGTCAGAGGCACCGGGCTCCTCGCTCTGAGCCCAGTTACCCTCACCGCGAGCTGGACACTGACGACTCCACAGACTCCGTGCTGAGAAAACCAACCAGAGCCAAGAGCCAGCCACCGGCCAGCGCCAAGGAGCGGGCGTCCAGCCGGGACAACAGACGCTCCTTCATCCGCCACGACTGGGCCGAGAGGAGCATGGAGGCCAGGGAGCGAAGGAGGCCCAACATGAGAGCCTCAGTGTCCGCTGGGGAGGTGAGCACAAAGAAATCAATAGCCTTATACTGCACCGCACGCAACTACCATAACACAAATGACAAAATCCAGACAGGGATTCTGTAAGGCCACAGTCCTGCAATATTATGATGTTTATAAATGTCAGAGGCCTCATTTATAAAACATGCACTATATGGCCATAATGTGGACACCTGTCCTCATTATTGAGTTCAGGTGTTTCAGCAACATCCACTGGTATAAAATCAAGCACAGACGTTGGCAGTAGAAACTAAAGGCACTGTCAAAGGAGTTAGTCAAGTCAGTTTGTGAAATTTCTGCCCTACTAGATCCACTCCAGTCAACTGTAAGTGCGAGTATTGTAAAATAGGAGCGTCTAGGAGCAACAACTCCGCCTCGAAGTGGTAGACAATGCAAATTCGTAGCTGCACACAAGATCACTATGCGCAATGCCAAGTGTCAGCTGGAGTGGTGTTGAGCACACTCCCACTGGACTCTGGGGCCGTGGAAACATGTTTTCTGGAGTGATGAATCACGCTTCACTATCTGGCAGTCTGATGGATGAATCTGGGTTTGGCGGATGCCAGGAGAACACTGTCTACCAGAATGTACAGTGCTAACAGTAAAGTTTGGTGGAGGAGGGATAATGGTCTGGGGCTGTTTTGGGGTTTGGGCTTGGTACAAATTCCCACAGCCACACTCCAAACTCTTGTGGAAAGCCTTCCCAGAAGAGAGGAGGCTGTTATTGCCGCAAAGTGGGGGCATCCAAGGCGCAAAACACAGGGGGTCTGGGGGGTCCCTGAAAATAAACCTATGATGTTTAGCTGTCTGTCAGGGAAAATAGATGCTCAAATACAAATTCAGGGGAAAGGTAATTGATTTGCTGCTTCACCCACAATCACCAAGCTTCTGCCTTTGATATTCTTACTAGAGATGCAGCACTGGTCTGCCTCAGGGTGACCCTGCAGCAAATTGGTTCACCCAGTTGGTCCTTCATAGCCTAGCAACTGTAACTATGCCTGAGATACCTCTGAAAAACTTCACAATATGCTGTTGCATATTTATAAACCTGAAAACTTGCCCAATTCCCCAAGAGATTGGTGGAAAGAGTGAATTTTTTACTCTTTTCTCAAAGAGGGAGACGTGTGAGATCTCAGTTAATGTGTGTGGAAGACCTTTACCAAACTAGAAAAGAGCATTTCCAGAAGGAGAATTCTTAAATCGAACAATTTGTTGTCATTGACTCTAGCATCAGCACTACTATGGCAAGTGAGTTAGCTGCTCACTTACACTGGAGTATCCAGCCAACCTGGGACCCCCAAAATACCAAGGGGTATTTCTACACTGGAGGTAACTCCATATTAATCCCCACGGTTTTTGGAAGGGGGTGTCAAACAAGCTCACATCTAGGTGTGATGGTCAGGTGTCCACATACTTTTGGCCATATATTTTACTTGAATTTCATTTTAAATGTGTTCTTAAAATAATTTCTCAAATTTTAAGTATCACTGATTTATGAAAACATCATAATGCTCACAAATAGAGGCGACTCTCTGAGCCTACGGATATCCAAACACATCTAGTGTTTAATAGGATAATATTAAACCCAGTGTGGTAAAGTGAACATTCACCATGGCTGTATTCGCTCTAATATAACCTTGAAATCACCTTAGACAGGCTAGCAGAAATGAGCATCATCACAGCTGTGGTCATTTCTGTTAAAAGTGAAAAAACATATTATATGTCTCATTTTTTCTAGATTGTACATGTAATTTGCTGTGGCAGTTTCTCACACAGCTAAACTTAACTAACAGTATGTAGGGGAGGGACAAGAACTTGGCTAATATCTGACCTAAATATAAAACTTTCACTGTTTCTGGATCTGGATCATCAACTACAGTAGCCTAGTTAGCAGAAAAGCCACTATAATATTACTCTGACAGTTGAAAAAGAAGTTAAAACATCAACAAAACTGATGTCATTTATTATTACTCCACATTTAAGGTGTAATTATTCTCTAAAAGAGTATTCTATGCTGAGTAGTCCAGGCTAACAACAAAGCTAGTGGGAACCAGTTAGCATGATCTCATTAGCATTATCCTAACCTGTTCCTGCTAGCTCTCATTCACTGGATATCACGGCTCTACAGGCAGCACGCCGCTAAATAATTCAGCTGGAGTAAAGGTAGAACTGAGTGTCAGAAGGTGATCCATTCACTTAATTAGCGCAAAGAAAATACTCTAGCATTGCAGCTACGTGAAGAGGTTTCACTTGTGGTTGAACCGCAGAACGTCCTTCATTGGTCTACTCTTTTTCTCCTGAGCTGTTAAAGCAATAGAAAAGTTCTTTGCAGTTAAAGGAAACAATATAAGATGCATAAGGCCTTGATATTTTTGCATACCCATATGGAAAAAAATATGGACATATAGTTTTATGTTTTTTACATGCATCTGAAATACATCGCAGTCTAGGCCGAAATACATTCCAAACTGCCATATACATTTACTGCCATATTAAGCGAACATATTTTAAAATACATTTATCTTGAAATGTATGGGGAAATAGTTTACCTAGAAATGTGCCATACAAAAATAAATGTATGTAAATGTGTTTAGAAAATACATTTGAAACTGTATGAAAACAGCCAAAATACAGTCTAATGCATTTTACTGTTTGGACTAACATTTGAAATGAATTTATATTCCAGTATCTTAATTTGAAATATTAGCCAGTGAACCTTTAACATGGCAAAGGCAAGTGTTGTAGGTATTGATACACTATGAATTTTCACACATTGCAATAATAAACACTGATCAGGCATAACATTATGACCACCTCCTTGTTTCTACGCTCATTGTCCATTTTATCAGCTCCACTTACTATATAGGTGCACTTTGTAGTTCTACAGTTACAGACTGTAGTCCATCTGTTTCTCTGATACTTTGTTAGCCACCTTTTACCCTGTTCTTCAGTGGTCAGGACCCCCATGGACCCTCACAGAGCAGGTACTATTTGGGTGGTGGGTCATTCTCAGCACTGTAGTAACACTGACGCGGTGGTGGTGTGTTAGTGTGTGTTGCGCTGGTCTGAGTGGATCAGACACAGCAGTGCTGCTGGAGTTTTTAAACACTGTGTCCACTCACTGTCCACTCTATTAGACACTCCTACCTTGTCGGTCCACCTCGTAGATGTAAAGTCAGAGACGATAGCTCATCTGCTGCTGCACAGTTTGTGCTGGTCATCCTCTAGTCCTTCATCAGTGGTCACAGGACGCTGTTGGCTGGATAGGTTTGGTTGGTGGACTATTCTCAGTCCAGCAGTGACACTGAAGTGTTTAAAAACTCCAGCAGCACTGCTGTGTCTGATCCACTCAGACCAGCACAACACACACTAACACACCACCCAACAAGGAGTTATATGTACTTATTGCCCACTCCTACATTATTCTGTCTGTAGGGATAAGTGTTGTGTCCTCACGTAGTTTTGCTGATTTCCTCTGTAGATCCATCGGGCCGACGTTGGTGTCCAGACTCGACGGGAGTCGGAAAAACGTGGAAAAACCTCAGACCGTCGGAGGGCGAGGTCAGCTGACCTGGAGAAGTCACGGCGGTCGGAACTGGCAGTGGCGGATGACCGCTGGATGACAGAGTACATGCGCTGCTTCTCTGCCAGGCTGAGGTAGAAGCAGAGAGAGAGGACCAAACACTTGATCCAGGATCAGCTTCTGGACATTCTTAAAGGAGCGCTTCACCATCTTTTCAGAATTTTTCAAAATCTCACTGCAAGCATATAGCAAGGTTTTACCTGCAGAATTCCAGTACATCTACATTTATACAATACTGCAGCACAAACCAAGGCAAGTTTATTTATATAGCACATTTCATGCACAAGGCAATTCAAAGTGCTTTACATAAATAAAAAAATAAAAACATTATTAAAAAAAACAGTAAGGAAATAAGATGGTTTTTATCTGCGAAACATTTCAAGAGTGTGAAGCTGCAGTAACATATTTGGTTGGACAGCAGCAGAATTTTAAAGCTGTTTTGCTGTTGCCATAGTTACTGCTTTTTTGCCTTCGTAGGACAGAATGTTTACAGTGGATCTGGTCACGACATTGAGCAGAATTTGGCCTAATAGTAAACTTTCATCGTTTTAATATCCTAAAACTCAGTGATTTGCTTCAACAATAAGAGATGGCATGAAAAATTCTGAAAAAATGGTGAACTTCCCCTCTAACGGGGTTGGTAAGAGATTACGGGTTGCAGACACAGATCCTAAACCAGCATCAGAGGACGTTTTCTACTTTGAGTTTGAATAAGTCATTGGGCAGTCATCGCTGGCTGTAGACACAGTGCATAGCTACAGATCTTCATCCGCATTCCATTAGCATACAGTGCTAACAGACGGGAAGTAAGAGCAAAGAGAATGTTTTAATAGACTCTTTCAGCGTTTTGTTAATGAGCGTTTTTCTTTATTCCTCTCACAAATTCATATCATCACATTAGAGGACCAGGCTTTTGAAGACGTTCTGCACCCAGTGATGCTAAAGTGTCCAAAAGTGAATGCAAGGCACTGGACTAGTGTGTTTACATGTACTTAATAATCCGATAACTACAGAAAATCAGATTTTGTCAGTAATCTGATCAAAGCGTTTACATGCACTTCAGTAATCAGATAATGGGGAAACTCCAGGTCTACATGAGTCGGACAGTAACTGGATTTCTGCTTTACAACCAGCCAATAAACTCACAGAAGAAGACACGATGTAAACTTAATGTAAAACTCAAACTTCATGCTGCGGCTTTTTTTAAGACATCACCTCACTTTACCTGAAAATATGAACATACATCACCTAGAAGATGAAGAATATTTAAATCCTTCATTTCGTCAAGTATGTATTTGGTTTCAGCGTCTCTCCAAAAGTGTTTTGCTGCTGCTCAGTTATTTCTGGTACTGCGGTCTGTTTTCACACGTGCGCAGACTGAGAGATCCGAAAGAAATCAGAGTAAGAGTTTACATGCACTTAGAAATCTGATTACTGAGCTAAAATCCAGCTCTCTTTATCAGATTTCTTAATCAGATTTCTTGATTGGAGGATGGTGTTTACATGACCATTTGAATAATCAGATAACTGCAGAAATCAGATTTTGATCGGATTATTGAGTGCATGTAAACACGCTCATTAATAGCCACATTAGCATCGCTGGATTACGTAAACCTTTAACATCGACACCAAAATGGGTTTGAAAAGAAAGACGATACGTTTCACTGGAAATGATTTGAGATAATCTTGTTTTCTTTTAAGATTTGATGATATTTTGATGGTCTGTCGGTTTGCTGTGCTGTAAATGTGGTGGCATTATTTGAATGTTTTTGAACTATTTATATTCCAGTTTTCAACACAAAGTGTAGAAAGAATGAGCCTTTAGTATTTGAGTGGACCAAACTTCGTTCAACTGAAAAAAACATTGAATTTCATATTTATATCAAGTTTTCCAAATTCTGGTGATTTTTCAGGCACAGTTTTAAGTTCTCAAATTAATCTAGATCTTTTGAATGATTTGAAAAACAACCTGAAACAGATCTTAAATAATAGCTTTTACAGCTTAGCTCGCCTCTAACCTCAAGCTACATACAGTACTGTGCAAAAGTCAGAGATCAGCCTTTCATTTATTTCATTTGCAGCCAAAACTGCAATTAAGTTCAAATGACCATTTTGCAGTGTGAGAAGAAAAGCAGAAAACATACTTAACAGAAAACGACACAAAAGCCTCAACAACTAAATATAATATCACATTTTTGTGTGTCACTCTTTACCTTTATTACAGCTTCCATTCTTTTCAGAAGACTCACTTTCAGTTTTTTAAAGAAACCTGGAGGGATATTTTTCACACCTCCAAAGTTCAGTCTTAGAAGTTGTTTGCATTTTCTGCTTCTCACCATCCGAAAAATCCCACTGACAAATTTAGACTCATCAGTCCACAGAGCCTCTCAGATGTCCCATATCTAATCTCAGAAATACCGCCTGAGAAATGAATAAGTTACTCAATGGCTGTTTTCATTGGAAGCTGAATAATTGAAAGGGTGGTCTCTGACTTTTGCGCGGTCCTATATAAAGCAGAGTCTTGGGTTTTTTCCTGGAGAGTATATTTACTGTGATGCAGTGCTGGTTATGTGTTACAGGACAGAATGTGTAAGACACATAACCACTGTAACCATTTAGGTGTATTCAGTGTATTTTGTTATTGGAAGACAGTCATCATCATTCCATATGTTAATCATGCATTTAATGCACTTTCTTTCACAGATCATATCACAGAAATTATTTTTATGTGTGGATATATGGAATATGGAAATTAAGTCGATGGCAATCTATTATTTCTTTTGAATGTGGTCACTTCATACAGCACCAGATTAAAGGGGAAATCCACCAAGTTCTCAAAAATGTCTTTATAACTAAAGCATAAAGTTGCAAACAAAGTCATTCAGAGTTGTTTGATGTGAAATGCTCCGTTCTACACATTTAAAAAGATGGGTTCTTTAAGGGTTCTTCAGTAAAGCCAGTGGTTCTATTTAGAACCAGGACTCCTCTATAGAACCATTTCATGCTTCATGCTTATCTGATGGAGACAGTGTTGGTCTCTACCAGGTGTTGCAGGTGGTTGTTAAGAGTCCCATTTCATGCTTAAATGGTTCTTTGCATGGTGAATTGGTTCTTCAGATTGTTTTAGAATGTGTTGTATATGGTTCTATATAGAATGCACAGAAATGGTTCTGCTATTGCTACAAGCTTGACATTGTAACAGTAGAAGTACCTTTTTGGTGCCATATAGAGTCATTTTCAAAAGGTCTCAATACAGAACCATATACAACACATTCTCCATCAATCTGAAGAACCATTTCAACATGCAAAGGTTCTGAATACACTACCCGAGACATTGTTTTACATAGTTTTGAGACAGTTTGGGCCTAAAACATTATTTTTTATTCCACTTTAGGTGTAAAGGGATATTAATCGTGTTGTATGGCAAAGTAAAAAAGCTTTTTTTCAGTTTTACCACTATTTTACCATCATCATCATTACATTATACATTATACATTGTATATTATTACATTGCATCAAATACATTACAAGTATTTAATGCCTCTAAAAGCTCCGTCACATAAAGTTATTACATCAAATGGTTATAAATACACTGCTTGATGTCTGAGTCACTGTTTTATAAAAGTTTAGAGACGGTTTTGGCCTAAAATCTATTTTTTTAAACACATTCATGATGGAGGGGTACATGCAAGGCATTGTAAGGCAAAATAGTTCCCAAGGAAAAGTATTTTTTCCACTGTTTCACCATCATCAACATTACACACAAAAACTCAGAGGACTCGTGTGGGTTCACTGGTGGTTTTGTACAGTAAATAAATTGGCTATATTTGTGTTGTGGACTTTGTGACCCCTGGTTCCTATGAGCACCACTGTAAAGAAATCCGAGTCTATATGTTTCTCTACAGTGAACCATTTCACACCAAACCACTCTGAATGACTTTGTTTACATCTCAGCCATTGAATCATGCAGAAATTTTGAGTTGGTGGTTTTCCACTTTAATTTATCATCACTTCCTCTGGATAAATGTCTTTTATCACCAAACCTCAGGAGGTTGTGGCAAGTTTACAGTGAAGTCTTATGGCAAAGGTTTTGATGGACCAAAAACATACAGCAGTTTCCTTCATTTCCAGCAGAATTCCTCTTTTTCTCTTAATATCTGGTCAGCTTATTTGGAGTTTGCTGATTCCTACGCCTCAAAGCTTCATTTGCTTGCAATCAAGAAAAAAAATATACATACTGTACATGCTTATTTACAACAGAGGATGGGATTATATTCAGAATGTTATTATTTATATTACTAATGAAATATATTCTCATGAATGACTTGCTGTTTATTTTGCAACAATGTTTACATTTTTAACCACTGTATTTGTATTTGGAGATTAAAAAAACAAGCAAAACGAAACATGCACAATATATTAGATATATTTTCATCTGTGAATAAAACCACTTTGGAGCATTGCTGTGAATAAAACCATGTTTGAGTAACCTCACGCTCATTTGCATTTGTAAAAGTGTGAATATGATGAGCATAAAAGAACAAGAACATATATTACATCCTTGTTTTATAATGATATCAGACTAATGAGAGGCTGTGATTAAGCTGATATTCTCTGCTAATATCGCTGAAAAAGGTATCATAAATGTTCACTGCCATTACAAAAATGGCAAAACAATCTAATTTAAGTTTCCCTCCTTAGCTCAGATGTAGCCGATCAGCCTAGACATGTTCAGTGTCTGACGTTTACTTCTTTAGTTTTGTGCTAGAGCTACAAGGCTAATGTAGCTAATAATTCATGGATGATAATAACTAGCAATTAGCTTCATACTAACCCTTACTGAAAAAAAACAGTACATCCTGGTTTATGCTGGTCTGGTGCTGGTTTAGCTTGTGGTCAACCAGCACACTAGCATCCAAAACGCAACATATGCTGGTTTCAGTATGTCTGAAATGTTGAAATAAATTTGGAAAATATATGCCCATTTTGACTTTGATGTCAGCAACATATTCCAAAAAAGTTGGGATGGCTGAGTTCAGCTGCTCAACAGTTTGGGGTCTCCTTTGTTGTATTTTTTGTTTCATAATGTGCAAAATGTTTTCAGTGGTGACAAGTCTGGATTGCAGGCAGGCCAGTTTAGCACCCGGACT